ATATATATATATATATATATATATATTCGCTATACAGTTAGCAGCAAAATTAAAAGCTCAAATTTATTCGACAATAGTGTTATTACCGGATAAGGACAAATAAATAGTTTCGTATGTATCTTTAGAGGGTACATTGTTGTTACTTGGAAGCATGGTTGGCATGTCATTCGTGAACAAACATTTCTATAACCTTGTGTTTCAAGTTGCCTGCTGTGCTCCCTCGGGAGTATGTATTGTACAAAATTTTTAAGTTGGAAAAGTCGAGAAATTTTAATTGTAAAGCGGAGAAGCTAATTGTTATTGATATCAGAATGATGAATTTTAAGTTTCTGAGCAAGTATCTGCTTAATTTAATTCTTTATCTCATTGTTTTTGCTGTTATTTTTGTTACTGTTTTTGCGTATATTTTTTTTTTGTAATTAACTAGTTGAAGTTTTTGCAATCTGAAGCTGTTTATACTTTTTCCATGTTCTCCTTTATTTTTTTTAGTTTATTTTAAAAATACGAGGTTTCTGGTTGGAAAATGTCAACAGGCAACAGAACAAAACAAAAATTTTTTTCTTTTTTTCCCGCAGTTTGTATAATTTTGTTGATGATGCAACTTAAACGATGCATTTTTCGCAGCTTGACAGTTTGAGCTTTCATCCTTTTTTTTTTTTCCTGCCACCTTTTTTTCTAATTACAAAATTCTTCTGACAGTAAAGTTTTAGAAACAGCGCTTTAGCCATTTTTTCCTACATTAATGATTTATCACACTTCTGTTTTACCACAAGCCGTATAGTCGAAGCTGTGGCAAAATGACGAGAATCAGTTGTTGCCAAGCCCAGAAACAGATTGTTAATTGTACAATGGGCTTACCAATATGTTTATGAAAAATGTAACAGGGAGGATGAACAACACCAGTGATAGCAACAACAACAAAAAAAGCAAAAAAAGCAACAAAAATATCGACAAAAAGTACAATTTTTAATCTTTTCTTCCCTTCCAAAAGAATTTTTTAAATGGTTGAGTATCCTGGTGCAGCTTTATGGAACCGATTTTTTTTGACGATATTGAACGAAACAATCCACGAAAATATTTTTTTTCTGAATTGAGAACAGATCACTGCGTGCGTTTGCTGAGCTCGAATTTGGGTCGACAACGTCTTGTTGTTGGTCGTTGAGATTTCACTTGATGCTCGCCAAACCATCCGACCAATTTTAAACAAGGTATTCATCCCCTTCCCCTT